AAAGGTAAACTAGTCGGCGAGCAAACGGCTGCGACTACGGCTGCTGCAGCGGTGGCTGCTGCTGCTGCTGCTGCTGCCGCTGCTGCTCTGCTTCTGCTATTTGCGCGAAGCTGCTGCGGCTGTTGGTACTTGGAGCACGAAAGCCGGGCCTGCTAGCTGCTAGATGGAGTGTCATGACAGACTGAAGATTTCGCAGCACATCCTTTTCATGAGGTGCAGACATGGAGGCAGCGCTGACAAAAGTTACTGGCAGCCAAGAAGCTGCTTCTTCATATCGCCCTTGCGCACCACCGGCCCAGCAAGCATGCATGTATGGATCTCGTCTCCCGTTCGATCCAAAAAGCCTGTGTTGATGAAGAACACCTCACGGAATCTAGAGTTGGTCGTGGCTCGAGGGCGGTAGCAAAGGCAATCTATCCCAAAAATAAATGCAATGCTTTGGATGACCAAGCAGGGCACTGAAGAAGTTGCCTCTGGAGTGTCTCTGGCAAAGCAAACATAAATACAAAACACCGCTACTAATAATATCTATAGAAACAGTAATAGCGATACTCATAAACAGGATAGTAATAATAAGAATAAGAATAAGAGTAAAATCATCGGGCAAGGGACTTTGCAGAATCCTTGCATGCATGTGTACTGGATGCAAACCTTTCTGATCAAACGGGCCATATCAATATCCACTAGCACGATGCCGCGATACGCCGCGGGCTGTTTGATAGCTCCTGACTAGAGTGATGGGTGGAACGCATGTAAAGACATGTTGGATGCCCGACGGCTCTGGGAACATTATGCTGACAAATTGGCAAGCACAGCATTCTAGCGGGCCGAGGTATGTATCACATCCACGTGCCTGCCCACTATGTCTAGGAGATTCTAATTCTAGACCGAATCTAGAACCTGCCGCAACCTGACGTTCTTCCGGCACTACATGATGCAGAGCGAGTGCTGGGTTGCACTCTATCAGAATCAGGCATACTCAGAATCTCTCTAGAGGGAAGACAGCGGGCCACGCAACAAGCTCAGCAGAGCCTGAGAGTGTGGCAGAAGCTTGCCAGTTAAAATAGTTGTGGAACTAAAAGGCAAAGTTAGCATAGGAGGATTCTGCCATCGTAGAAACAAGCCTATGCCCTACATTTTCCATGCCCGAGATTAATTCCAGAAGCACCCCTTGTGGCTTCCAAGACCGTTGAGGCTCTTGAGTCCAACATGCGCACCCATCTGCGATGGGAGCACGATCGGCACGCGTCACGCCATAACACGCTTAACTTAACACTGTGGCGGGACCACGGGTCCTACCGCGAAAGATACACGGGATTGTTGCGGGACACATTGTACCGATGTCACATTCTCATACTGTCCTTTTGCTGGCCTGCATGTGCGGAGCTCGAATAACCACCGCCGCTACTGCTACTGCTACT